CAACAAAACCCCTTTTTAAAACCGATAGGCCAATTATTTCTGTTAGAATATAAGAATTAATCGTCGTTTTGATAAAGACACTTTCCTTATTGGACGTTTGGTTGAGATTTACCGGTATATGTGCGGTGCCCCACTGACTGTTTCGGTTTGGCGCAATCTGTCGTGTGGGATTCACTGTACAGTTTGTAAATATATTTTCGTTTGCAATGTATCCTAAAAAGAGGACATGTATAAAATACGTTTGGTCTTTCAGAAGCTTCACAGATCTTTGATTGTTTTCTGATATATATATTTTTATTGCAGGAGCCAGTTCAAGATCCGTTTCCAATGTATACAGTAATGGAGACGTCAAACATTTCCTTTTCTGAAATAGAACAGTCTGCAAAACTAAAAAACTATACGCAGTATGTAATTAACTGGTATAATCCGCCACCATTCCTGAGAATCAGAAGAGAGGCAATAAATTGTGGGTTTGAAAAATGTAAATACAAGAACTGTATAATGACTTTTAGCCGAAAATTTAGTGCTGTAGCTCACGCTGTTTTGTTTGATGGCAGATGGGTTTCCGAAAAAGTTGGCTTCGTTCGACCTCCGGGTCAAGTTTGGATATTTGCTGCACACGAAACCCCACTAATCTTTGAATATATCGGAAAATGGTGGACACAGCCACAATGGCGGTATGGATTTAACTGGACCATGACATATGACAAAGATAATACAGATATATATCTCCCTTACGGAGAAATACGGAAATACCCGAACTACATTAATCGAGATTATGAAGCGCTTGCATTATCAAAGACACAAGGCGCTTTACTGATTAATTCACACTGTAATACATCTTCATATCGCGAAACTTTCGTGCTGAAATTAAGTAAGTATATACCTGTAACAGTACTTGGACAATGTGGGAAACCGTGGAACTGTGGTACACACTATATCCACGACAAATGCTTTGACCTTTTAAACACAACGTATAAATTTTTCTTAGCTTTTGAAAACGCGTTTTGCAACCAGTATTTCACGGAGAAAGTCTACGAGAACTTTAACTATGACATTATCCTCGTTGTAAGGGGTGGTAGAAACAACGAAACAATGTCTTTATTTCCGAAAGGAGCCGTAATATCAACAGATTCTTTCAAAAGTATTGACGAGTTGGGAAAATATTTAGCACAATTATCGAATTCAAAACGTGATTACGCCGATATACTGAGACGTAAGAGTCAGTATTATTCACCGGGTTACACGGAAGTGTATCAACGTGCCATGTGTGATCTTTGTGAACGTATGAACAATCAAGAAAAATATCATAAACATATTCCAGATATTGTACATTGGGCTTATCACAAACAACCGTGTGTGAATGCATCAGATCTACATTGAATAACAAATATTGGTATATTTTTGTTGATTTTGCCAAACATTTTTTGTTTGTTTTTGCTATATAGTTTGTTTGCTTTTATTTTGAGAAACAAGTACATGTATTGCTATATTTTTGTTGATTTTGCCATATATTTTTTGTTTGTTTTTGCTATATAGTTTGTTTGCTTTTATTTTGAGAAACAAGTACATGTATTGCTATATTTTTGTTGATTTTGCCATATATTTTTGTTTGTTTTTGCTATATAGTTTGTTTGCTTTTATTTTGATTTTTTTTGCTATATTTTGCTTATTATGGCTACACTACGTTATTGATAAAACTATATTGTTTATGCTTTTACATGATACTTTTATTTAAAGGCCCATTATGCCTCCGAAAAGAATAAATGTTTAAGGGCATATATAAACTAAATAATGTTTAAATAATGGTTTTAAAGCTGTAAGATAATTTTTTTTACGCTTGTATGAGAAGTAATTTGTCATAAATGTAGCAAAATGTAATCAAAGCAGCATATAAAATACTAAATAGCTATAACAGTTTTAATTGCAAAAAAGCAAAAGAAGCACAAGAATGTTCAGGCAATTGATCGATGAGTGACTTTTTATGGGGAAATAATAAAGTAAACTCCAAAAAACATAGAAATAAAAGCATTTATTAGGCATAATGGGCCTTTAGTTTTACAATAATGTTGTTATTACAGTCTTTCTTTTATAAACACATTTGAGCCGCGTCACGACAAAATCAACATAATTGGGTTTGCGACCAGCATGGATCCAGGCCAGCCTGCGCATCCACGCAGTCTGATCAGGATCCATGCTGTCTGCTATCAGTTACTCTACTTGTTATAAGGTTGGTAAGCGAACAGCGTGGATCCTGATCAGACTGCGCGGATGCGCAGGCTAGTTTCGATCCATGCTGGTCGCAAACCCATTACATTGGTTTTGTCGTGACGCGGCTTTATATCTTTTTGTTTGGTATACAGCTGGTTTTTCTTGCCAGTGGTCCTGCTTGTCTTGCCGTTGTAAGATTTTTTGTTACGGAGGAATGTTTTCATTGACCGTAGTCTTTGCTTGTTGGTCTTTGTTTTCTTGTTTGACTGTATTGTCTGACTGTTTAAAATGTAGTGTTTTTACATTCAAACTGTTATGACAATCCTGTAGATATAGATCTGAAATGTGTAATATATGTATATTTATCCATGATGTACATGTGTACATTAATGTGTGTATATTACACTGTTACATAATTCATTTGCTCGTTTATTTTTATGAATATAACGCTTGAATCAAATTTACTTGTTCTTTTTTTATAATGATTACATCGGACCAGAGACATAATTTATGTTATCTATGTCTCTGATCGGACCCAAAATATGCTTGTAAGCAAGCACAACGTATTAGAGTGTGTCGTCTGCTTTCTATTTGATAAAATATGAACAAATATAGCTATAGACACATGAAATAAAGGCTGAATGCATCTTTTCAGTTGGTCAGGTGTCGCGTAAATATCACACGACAATGTTACTAATCGTCGTTGTCTTATATGGCAAAAACCATCACGAAAACGATCCGAAAACAAACAAAAAAACAAACAAATAAATAAACAAACAAACATAAAACAAACATAAAGCAAAACAAAAGACAGAAAAGAAAATTTAAAATTTTTAATATGAAAAGGAAGTAGGACGATAAGATGCTTTTGTATGACCTTTTGACCTTTCACCTTCCTCGTTCCGTTCCGGTCCCATACTTCATCACAAGGTTGTGATACCTGCAAAACAGGTCCCGGTTTTTACAATATCTACCCCCCTTGCCAAAGTGGCTGTCATTTTAAGGGTCACTATTTTGTATGACAAAGAATGAAAAAGAAAACAAAACAAAACAAAAAAAAAAAACAAAAAAAACAAACAAAAAAAACAACAAACAATATAAACAGGTAGGAAACTAATATTAAAGCACCAATATATAAAAGATTTCAATTAGTTTTCATAAATATCATAAAATTATGAGAATTTTTTATCTTAAGCACGTGATAAGTTGTAAATAACCCTCAAAATGGCTACCAATAGAGGTAATAATTGCTATGTAAAAAGCTCCCAATATCTGTAGTTCTGAACATTGAATATTGTAAGAGTCTATGCCCGAGGGCGTTAAAGATGGTCGCATATTCAATTATCCTTAATGAGAAGATTCTATATAACACCGAGTCTAAGTTCTTCTTTATGTATCATTGTTTTCCTTTGCTCTTTAGGATTTACTTTTTGTAGACGGTGCCATTACCACGTAACATTTTGTTATCTGCGTGGGGCAGAAAAAACGAATACAAAAAGCAGCATAACCTTTTTCTTACATATTTTATTCTTTTCCATAAAAGATATCTGTTTCTAGGAGTGCAAAAAATCGCATCATATGAGGCTTAAGTTATATTTAGCTTGATTTGACATGCATGTTTCCCTACACGTCAAATCAAGATAAAATGTACTAAACATAAATGTCAAATCAAGCTAAGTATATATATGCGAACATAAGCTAAACAATCACGTCAAATCAAGCTGAATGCATACACGTAAAGATAATTTGATTTGAACACACAGGTCAAATCAAGCTAAATGCATACACGTAAAGATAATTTGAACACACACGTCAAATCAAGCTAAATATAAACATGCAAAGACATGTTAAACATACACTTTAAATCAAGCTAAAAATACAGTTTAAAATACACGTCAAAGCAAGCTAAATATATACATGTTTATTTAAGCCAAACATACATGTAAAATAATAAAGCCAACTTCACACCTCAAATCAACGTAAATATGTTTATCAACTCAAGCTAAACGTAAACATTAATTCAAGTTAAATGTTATATAGACGTAAATTACAAATTAAAACTGTTGAGTGATGTATTAACTTTGCCGCACTGCATGGGCATGACTTACTTTACTTAAAGATTATCATATAAATGTACGCGCGGATATTGGAAAGTTTTATTTAATGAAATTTCTACAAATCATAATAAAGGAACCCAACTGATCTTTTCAGTGTAACACCCGTAAAATTTCTATTAAATTATATGTGCATAAATTTGTGAAATATCTTTTGATCGATAGCCTGGGAATGTCCAAAAATAGTTTGTTAACGCCGCAATATATCTAATAATTTGTGTTTATAAGCAAGGGGACTACTTTTTTGTATTCATACACAAGTTCTTGTTTTTAACTTTATACATACAAAATTGATTTGTTTTGAACAACAACAAACAACGACATTATGGATTGAAATGAGGGAGGTGCAATTCAGTTTGCTTTAGAATTTGGACTTTATACAGCATTTGAAGAAGAAAGTGCAATTTTGAAAACTAAAAAAGAAAATGTCTGTTTTTATGCGAGTCCTTTTACAATTAAGTACTTACGCCAACAGAAGGTACATCACAATTTTTATGACCTATCTGTATGTACTGACGTTTGTTGTACTAATCAGTTCACATGTTAGACTCTCGCGAGATTACGTTCTAAAAGACAGTGGTATAAAAAACTATCTGAAAAGATCTTTAAATGAATATAGCGAACAAAACACCGATGCTAAGGATGCAGTTATTATAAATCATGAAGACGTTGGTCAGGACACTGACAATGAAATGTTTGGTAACAAATTACAAAACGATCAAAGCAGAGGTGATCCGTTTAGAGACAACAATAAACAGAAGCTTGTTCAAGAAGATAATAGCGTAAAAGTAGATCATGTGAAAGCTGAAGTTGACAATGAACTTAAGAAAGCTGAAAAGAAAGTCGAAAATATAAAAGACAATGCCAAACCTGTTGTGATAGTTAAGAACGTTAAAAAGAAACTGGACAATTTACAACCGGTAATAGAATATAAATCTAAGTATCCAAACGTGGAGGTGGTTAAAAACTTTGATTTTGATAACTCACCTGATGTCAAAGAAGGGCTCTTTCAAAATATAACCAAAGATGGAACGTTTTTACTCTTCTCGGCGTATCTTGACGTCATTTACGGACAACCATATATAAAAGTTCTAGCGATAAATGGTAACACTTACCTGCCGAAGTTTTATTGTGAAGTAACATATACAGGTGATGTGTCCGTGGTAACAACGAAAGGGAAGATTTGGATGCTTCCCGACCATCACGAGAAAATGTAAGTTACTTTAATATATCTAAAAATACCTTAGTGTGATGTGAGTATGTTGTAGATATTTGGTTCCCGTTATGGTCATGGACATAATTATCTTCATGCATATCAGACAGATGTTTCCAAATGCCGGAAATTTCATATGGTTTTTGGGAATGAGAGGTGAGTCGCGCTACAAAATGAAGTGATTATAGCTCATTTTATGAATAAATTGCTTTAAAATGGGTCATTTTGAAATTAATCTGTGTGCCTATAATGACGTAATTTCGCCGGATGAATGTAAATTCATGAACTACTGTAGATAAAACGACTATGGAAAGCCATGGCTGTCTGATATTGTTCTTTTTCAATTTATTTCACCATTTGGATAATATATAAGTTCACTTCGACTATATATGACTTGAAAACACCTTCTTATTTAACTGGAATCCATTATATTAATCCACAGTTACAATATATGAAACCATACCGTCAGTGAATGAAACCAAGATAGCAATATATAAGTTGATTTTCTCAATATATGATTCCAATTCTTCAATATATTGTACCAAAGTAGCCATGTATGAAACCAGATATTCTTATATGAAACCAAATTATCAATATATTAATTCATTTTTACAATATATGAAACCAACGTATCAATGTATGGAGCCGAAGTATCAATATATAAGTTGATTATCACAATATATGATACCAATTATTCAATATATGGAACCAAAGTAGCAATGCATGGAACCAGGTGTCCTAATATGAAACCGAATTATCAATATATTAAATCAATTTTACAATATATGAAACCAGTTTATCAATGTATGTAACCGAAGTAGCAATATATAAGTTGATTTTCACATTATATGATACCAGTTCTTCAATATATGATACCAAAGTAGCAATATATGGAACCAAAATGTCATTATATTGACGGGACTTTTTTAAAGGCTCTATTCTATCCTTGCACCGGCATTACAGTTTCGCGCCAATATTCCTTGTTGAACTGTCAAAAGACCAGCGTGCTTCACTGATTGCACATTTCTAAATAAGGAAATATTTGAATTTAACGTCACATTCACTTAAAATGGGCTGAGCAGGCAAAACTTATCGTTATATATATGTACGAGTTGTATGTCATATTTTGAGCTACTGAGTCGTACTGACCATTAACAAAAACATTTAAAAAATAAGTTCATCTCGACCTTTATATTTGATCAAAAATGGGCATGACCAGTAGGACACATCAACGTTAGTCTACTCACAAACTTTAGAAATAACCAGTCAAATAATAATTGATTTCATGAAAAAGTGTATGCATTGTAATAACAGAACGCAGTGACATGTTGACTTTAGGTTATTTTGGTTCCATATAATGAAAATTGCTATCATAGAATGAAGCATCAACTTATGTACTGCTAATTTGGTTCCATACATTAATGAAATGGTTTCATATATTGTAAAAATGAGATAATATATTGATAATTCGGTTTCATATCCGGACATCTGGTTCCATATGTGGCTACTTTGGTATCATATATTGAAGAATTGGTATCATATAATGTAATAACCAACTTATATATTTCTACTTTGGTTTCATAAATTGATACATTGGTTTTATATATTGAAAAATGAATTAATATATTGATAATTCGGTTTCATATAAGGACATCTGGTTCCATACATGGCTACCTTGGTACCATATATTGAAGAATTGGAATCATATATTGAGAAAATCAACTTATATATTGCTAACTCAGTTTCATTCACTGACGGTATGGTCTCATATATTGTAACTGTGGATTAATATAATGGATTCCGGTTAAATAAGAAGGTGTTTTCAATTCATATATAGTCGAATTGAACTTATATATTATCCAAATGGTTACACAAATTGAAAAAGAACAATATCAGACATCCATGGCTTTCCATAAACGACGATATTACATTTGTGGTAGATTAGGCACGAAAAAAGTAAACGGCAAGCGTACCTTCATTCGGGTAGCCCATGGGCGCAAAGTCGAAAAGCCTCGTTGCTGTCAATTACGGAATGCCGTTAGGGCCATCGCCTATGAATGTGTTGATCTAAAACGCGATAGTCGATAGTACGATGGTGAAAAAGCGAAATCACGAAACTACGATGGTGAAAACGCGAAAGCACGATGATGAAAACGCGATAGTACGATGATGAAATCGCGACAGTACGATACTACGATGATGAAAACGCGATAAACTATCGTGTTTTCACCATCGTACTGTCGCGTTTTCACCATCGTAGTTTCGTGATTTCGTGATGCAACACATGACATATAGTTCAGTATATAAAGGTTACAGTCTTCATGACTATAATGGTATTTACATACGGTAATTATGTTTAACATGATTACATTCTAGTGCCATTGGTTGTTTAACAATGGTAGGATAAGAAGACAAGTACGTCATCGCGCAACTACAAAATGCTCCCAATCAGACTGTTTTCCTTTTTTTACCTGTCGTTTTGAAGATATTTTTTATTCTAAGAAAGCGTTGGAATATCAAAACATAATGTAGTTCACCAAAGCTTGGCTTTAGTACTTGATATAATTTATAAAAAAAAAAAAACGTTTACAGTTCTATTCCCTGGTTTAAGCCTGAAAACCATATTCTACATTCTCGAGAGTCGAACCAGTCCGATTGGAAGCATTTTGCAGGTGCGCGATGACATAATGTAGCTACCATTATATAATCAAGACATACAATTAATATCCATGATTTAAAACACATTCGTTATACTTTTCTTTTCATTTCAGGTATAAAACTGTGTTCTTGTACTGTCCTTTACCAGACGACAATATTCCCCACCACGTGTCAATTATACCGATCAAAGAGCCGGTACGACTTCACCGGCTTCCGGTCATGTACCACCCAAAAGCGGTGCGTAATTTCACAGTATGTCTCTCACCGCTTTTCTTTAACTACAGTATTGAGTACGAGCTAGTCGAATGGTTTGAAATAAACAAACTTATAGGAGCAGACCTGTTCATTGTCTACAACTACTCAACTGTCGGACGGACGGATGAAATTTTGAAACATTACGAAAAAGAAGGATGGATTCAAATTATTCAATGGAAGCTGCCAACGTACTCGGACTTGCATTACGTGGGGCAGGTCGCCATGATGAATGAGTGCTTATTTAGAAATTATAGAGCTTCTAAATACCTGGTTAATATTGACATAGATGAGTTGATTATTCCGCGAAAAGGTAAAACGAAATGGAGCGAACTCATGGCGTCATTCCCGCAGAATTTCTGTGAGTACAGTGTCCGAAGCACGCTTATGCCATCCGAAAGCAAGGACGTTTTTGAAGGAAAACAGCGTGCAAGGGAGCTAAATCTTCATTTCCTATTGCGCATGTCAAGACGAGAGTACATTTTCGGTAAAACCGTGCGATCTAAATACATTGTAAACACGACATGTATTGATACGGTGGGCATCCATTATTGCTGGAAATATCGCAATGGTACAGCGGAAACGCAAAGGTATCACGTGTCACCACGTGAAGCGCTTACTTACCATTTCCGGAATGAACCGGTTGCAAAGAAAGGGAAAGAAGTAGAAGAGAAAGCCGTATATAAATACCATACTGAACTTATAAATAACGCCAAAGCAAGATGGGAAAAGATAAACAAAGAGAGACAACTCTTGAAAGACAAGGCTAAACACAAATGAATTTAAAAATATTTTGTGCTATATGTATTATTTGTAGTCTAACTTGGATTTGTTTGCTTGTAACATGTCTATTGAGCCCACTGAATACATATTTTGATGTCTTTTTAAATAAACACACGTAAGAACATGCCAACGCTCCTAATTTCAGTACGGAATCCTGTTTCCGCCATTGGCCTTTCGAAACGTATCATCTAAGCTAAAAGAGTACCTTAGACGTTGTAGAAGGTGACAAAAGTACACCTGATGGTCCTGTATGTATCTTATTTCGAAAACAAGCACTTATGTGTTATTAACATCTAAGCACAAAAAGCTAGTGCCCTTTTCCAACGCTATAACACTTTCGCTTTATTTAAAACGTTGGAACTATAATTGATACCTTTTAATTTGGCCACTTTGTCTGTGATTGCAATACATTGTATATAAAATTTTATCATAATTAGAATTTACATGCTGCATTTGTTTAGAAAATAGTTTCAACTTTGCGCATATTATGTCCGGCCAGCCAAGTATATTTATGTAATATCTCATCATTTTGCTATCGGATTAAAAGCAGCACTCTAGCTAGGCGAATATCGCTTTTTCCGCCGATTTCCCGATTTCTTGATCGTGTATAAATCGTTGTGAACAGATGTATTAGATGTTGTAAAATGCATTTCGGTGGACGAAAAAAGCGAGACTTTAGCATTTTATAATCTAAGCGTCTTGTCCGGTATATACCGGAATACGGTTTTTAGTCTGACTTTATGGTGCTCATGTTTAGGATACGATTTGTATGTGACACCATTGTATATAAACGTTGTTAGAATACACAATTTTAACATACCATTGTGCTATTATAGGTGACATATTTCTTTGTACGTGACACCATTAAAAGTGATAAGTCGTGTCACAAACGTGACTGATACTGTTGAGTGTGATGACATCATTATTATAAGTGACATTTTTTGTATGTGACACCATTTAAAGTGATAAAATCGTGTCATAAACGTGAATGATACTGTTGAGTGTGACATCGTTGTCCATCACACTGGTTTTGTAAATTGATATCATAGCATGGTATCTCGAAGATTAGCTCGTATATTTGGTAAAAAATGTATTTTTGTTTAAACTTTGGTTTTAAATATTCTACATAAACGATGATAAAAAATAAGCATAAAATAACCATCCATCTTCTATTGAAACTACTATGCAAAATTAATGACTTAGTCAAACATCATCGTTTCTGTACATCTAAAGAGTTGGAGTCAAAGATGTGACAAAAAAGAGGCATAACAAAGAATAAAAAAGTAACCCAAATCATCTTATACACTAACAGACAAGATAAACAACAACAAACATTTAAATTTTTGAAAAACTTGGTTAAAATAGTAAAAAAAGAAGACATAGCAAAACAAAGTACAAAGAAAACAACCTTACATGTTATTAAACAAGATAAACATTTAAATGTTGGAAAACCTTTGTTAAAATTGTAAACAAAAAAGAAACACAACAAAGAAAAAAACATGATATAAATATAGATAAAAATAAACAAGGATGGTAAACATTTAAATTTTTGAAAAACTGTTAAAATAGTAAAAAAAATAGACATAACAAAGAAAAAACAAACAAACATGATATAATACAAGATATACAAAATAAACAACGATATCATTTAAATTTTTGAAAAGAAAATGTTAAAAGAGTAAAAAAGAGACACAACAAAGAAAAAGAAGACCAACATGATATAGAACAAATTAAACAAGATGAATAACGACAAACATTTAATTTTTTTTGAAAAAAAAAGTGTAAGTAGAAAAGAAACACAACAAAAATAAAAAAAATGATATAATAAAATATAAACAAGATAAACAAAGATAAACACTTAAATTTCTGAAAAACTAGGTAAAAATGGTAAAAAAGAGACATAACAAAGAAAAAACCTACATGATTAATACAAGATAAAAAACGATAAACATTTAAATTTTTGAAAAAAACTTTTGTTAATTATAAAAAACCTACATTACAACACTAAAAGCACATTTTGAATGCACCATCCATTTCATTATAATTATAAAACCAGCTTAAATACCTTTTAAAAGTTGCGAATTAATCAAAATTTCATTACAAAAGTCAAATGTAATATGTTTGTAGGCGTTTTGTAGTTTATTTGCACATTAACTGTTATTTTTATCGCCTATAAATCTTAATATTAAAACAATCTATAGTTCAAAACATAGTTTTACGTTATATTGACATTTCGTTGCGTTGCGTATACAGTATAACGCAAAAAACTATGAAAAATAATGGAGCATTTTATTTGGTAAAATGTCTTTTCATTGTTAAATCATTTACATGATTAAACTTGGTTAAAATGTCAATGAAACCTTTAAAAATTTATAACGTGTGTAAATAGTAGGCAATTTCCTTGTACCTTTCAACGTTATTTGAGCATCAACGTCGTATTTTTGTCACAATTAAATATTTTTAAGCGTTTGTTACACATCACAGTTTATAATTCATATGTTTGATATTTAATGATTTTGCAATAAAATCTGCCTGCCTGAATATATCATATTTCTTCTTACAAAACAGGGCTGACTCATTTTTAAGACGTGTTAGGATAAAAAGAAGAGAAGAGACATTTTTTTCGGCAGTCATACCCCCGTCTTAAACCCATCCCTCCCACTCTCAAAGAAAAAAGGACAAAAAAAAAACGCCACCTCCAACAACAACAACAAAAACCACAACAAAACAACAACAAAAACAACAACAACACAAATAACAACAACAACAAAACTACAACAAAAATAACCAACCAAACATAAACAACAACAAAAAAAAAACATACAAAAATCAACAACAAATTTGAATACAGATTGGGACCAGGTCCTATGCCGAGTACTACAATATGCTACATGAGTCTCTAGTGGCAGGCAGACGAAAGTCATCCATGTTTTTTCGCTCGACTAAGTGGTAACTTTGATTATCGTACTTTCGCCTGACGCGGAGCGAAAGTACAACAAAGTCGTCACTTTGCCGTTGTTTTTTTTTGTCGTGTTATCGAATGGCGCCCCACGGAGCGAAAATACAACATGGAACAAATAAGCCAGCATACTATTTTAACTTGTTTATTTTAAGCTGGTCTGGTAAGTACGGAGCTGTGATACTGTCAAACCTGTGTTTAAGACCTACCCCGAATAAAGATCACCCAGTTATTTGACAACCCTTCATTAATAAAAAAAATACAATCGAGTAAACTCCAAATAAAGACAACTTGTCTGTAAAGGACATGTACGGTTTTTCCCTTGGATGGCCTTTATCCACAGGTTAACTGTCTATATAATGGCTAGGCTATATTTAGAACTCAATATTTGACGTCATTAACATTTTAAAATATCTTAATATGTTTAACGTGAAAAATTCATTATCTTACCGTGATTTTTGTTGACATTTTCATTACGTCATGGCTATAATTAATCACCTATTTGAGCTGTGACGTCAGAGCTTCAAAACACGACAATGACATTGCAGAGTAGATAAAAGTAGTTTCATTTCGTGCTTACCTGTACAAAAAATAATGAAAAGTCACTTAAGGTCAAAATGTACAATTATAATTTGTACGGAATGACCAAAAATAAGATATTAAATAGTGTAAAATGTACAATGCAGACCACACGCACATGTGTGACAAATGTAGTAAACAACAACAACAACAACAACAACAACAACAACAACGGTTTCTTTACTTACATATAGTCATTTCTGTTGTTTAGTCAGGTGCAAAGCTTACTTTAGGTGGTGAAAGTCCCGTCATTCTATGTTGGGGAAAAAAGTTTTTATTTATAATCCGTAGAACATAATGTGTTCAGATTTACGCCGAAAACGCACCTCCAAATGTTTTGTTGGATGTTGCGCGTAACCCCCTAGATTTCTGAGTATGTTTCTTTACTTTTTCTGGGTCTTTAATATATTCCCGATAAGTGTTAGTCCAATCTGGTCTGTATTTACACAGATGTGATAGATGGATGACTTTGAAAGGGTTCTTTAGTTTAAAGGTAAAGGATGCCTCATAAATCCATATTTTATTAATTCTTTAGAAATCTGAAACACGTGTTTAATAATGTTCTAATTATGGATTTAGAGTATGTTTGACAGTTGACTTGTGGAAAGTAGCACTGAATGAGCAGTAATGTGTCGTAAAGGTAGCAAAATGTAAACAAAATTGTATTTTGACTTTCATACAAAATACTTATTCACTTTGATTATACCAGTTGCCCACATAGCAAAAGGAGGAAAGACATTTAAATTATATGGCAAATGAGTTTTGAGAGAAAAAACAACGCTAACATTGTTGATGCACAATGGGCCTTTAATCAACACGGGGCAAAGATTACAACTATTCAAACATATTTGAGCTGCGTCACGACAAAACCAACGTAATGCGTTTGCGACCGGCATGGATCCAGACCTGCCTGCGCATCCGCGCAGTCTGATCAGGATCCATGCTGTTCGCTATCAGTTTCTCTACTTGTAATAGGGTTAGTGAGCGAACAGTATGGATCCTGATCAGACTGCGCGGATGCACAGGCTGGTCTGGATCCATGCTCGTAGCAAACCCATTATGTTGGTTTTTGTCATGGCACGGCTCATTTATTTATTAAGATAAAGACCGCGTCTAAGAAGGTAAAAAAGCAAGCTTTATAGAAATCTGTTTTCCTTGTGTGTGGGTGAATGAGTCAGTCAGTCAGTCGAACGGTCGGGGTAGTAGAGTTTTGGTGTCTCGTAATGACCGGGGAGCAATTTCGTCTCCTTCCAGAATCAAACCTATGACCTTAAGATTACAAATCCGACGTATTTTCTACAGAGCTAAGCGGGCGGACGCGTAGGTATAGGTAGCGGTTAGGAAGCAGACAATTTTCGTTCAATTTTAGTCCTAATCTGTAGACTATACGAGTAGATAAAGTCATACCAATACTTGAAGATCATCATTAAAACTGCGTGGAATCATCGCTTAAAGTACATTTATCTCAATATTTACCCTGCTAGTGGCAAATGAATCGGCCCATGCCACCAGTGCCGACCAGCACATATGTGACGGCATGTAATGGTCTGCACTGTTTACTACTCGGAGAGTATTTATTTTGAAAAT